CAAGGACAAAATATTTTTAAGAAGGGAAAGGTTAAAACAATTGCTTAAATCTCTCTCTTCCTCCACACCACTTTTTATCAAAGCTACTGTACCATACCACACCTCAAGAAATCTCCACTACCTTAACACAGAAGAACCTGACTAACTTAGAGGTGTTACTACCAAAAGAAACTTTAAAAATTATTGTCAAAAGCCATTACCAGCTCTTCTGATTTTTCACTTGGTTGAAAATGATAATCAGCTGAGGGCTCTTGGTCACCATAGTAACACAATAAATCCAAGAGACTATTAGTTGTTTCCAGAGATACAGTGGTTCCTGTGGGTAGAAGAAAAAAAGGGAAAGAAACCTTGAAACATCAAAGAACTTTAAGCCCATTGGATTAAAATTCTTCGCTTTTTCTATGAGCTGTGGCTTTCTTGGCCACATACTTAATATCATCCACTACTTACTCTAACAATGGATGAGCATACACTTCACAGCTTCCTGAAGTGATACAAACAGGGACACAATCCTTCCTAACCGTGTGTTCTGACATAAAAGATTAAAATACAAGATGAAGTGTGATCCTATGCTCACTTATTTTAGGTACTCAGATCCCCATAGAAACTATCTCATGGTTTTAACTACCATCTCCAAACTGAACACTCTGTAAATTACTGCCACTTACTTCCCCTGGCCCACTTCCATTTTTACAAACGCCAAGAACTATTCCACTTGGATCTAGGCCATCACTGAAATACTTGCCCAGAAACACTAGCACAAACGTCTAATTATAATAACTTTTTAAAACTTGCTCAAAACATATGCTCCCATTTTGACACCTACTGTGTTTCCCCGAAAATAAGACCAAGTCTTATATTATTTTTTGCTCCAAAAGATGCATTTTATTCATTTATTCATGTACAAAAATCTACATTTATTCAAATACAGTCATGTCTGGCTGATGATCTTCACTAGGCCTTATTTTGGGATAGGGCTTATATTACAAGCACCCTGAAAATGCTAGGGCTTATTTTCCAGTTAGGTCTTAGTTTCGGGGAAACAGAGTAATCAAGAGGGAGAAAAGGGAACAGAAAGATGTATGAGATGTAATTTAGTGTTTTAAAAGAAAAGTAACTGCATTTTTCTAAACAAAATATGCTGATGATAAAAATGCCCATCAGGAAATTTAAAAGCCCAGAAAAGAAAGCACAGCAGAGTGGAGAGGACATAGGCTATGGCGTTTCATTTGATTTGGTCTATTAACTCAGAACTGCGTGGCCCTGAAAAATTACCTAATAGTTGGTTAATGTTAACTAAATGTTAACACATTACACAATATAAAATTATCTTATTATATAATTACAGAATATATTATACATAAGTAACATCATATGTAATTATATATATAATTATAAGGTTAATATAAATATTAATGTCAACTAAAAATTACTTAATAATTTTTCCTTTATAAGATGACTATACAACACAGAAGCTCATAAGGTGTTACAGAATTAAATTAAGCATGTGAGATGCCCAGCAAAGTGTCTGGCACTTAATAGAGGCTTGGTAATAAAATCTTCTAAGATCTCTCCCCCAATATGTTGGCTCACTCTGTTCTTCTGAGGTATGGGTCTGACACATTGTCTTTAGAAATGTTTACTGAATGTCTGCTTATGCCTACACCACGCAGCGTGTAAAACTGAAGATAAGTCTTAGCACTAAGAGCCTTAGAAGACTTAGCAGATATTTATCATATTCAATTCAACAAACGAACGGAAAGCCTCTAAATAATAATCTGCACTGGCAATTCATTTGTACAGCCAATGCTGTAACAAGCTGTATACCCAGGCTCTCAAATCAAACACACTTTCTACAAATGTTTCTGTTGTGTTCAAGACTGTTATTGAGTGATTCAGTCCAGTTTCTATCTCTTCTATGTTTAGTTGATTTTTATACTAAATCACTCCAGATCCCATAAAGTTAAAACAATACCGCTGCTTTCGATGTTACTATAGGTACATTCTCATGAGAGTTCACAAGCCACGCTATCTAGACCTATACCCGTGCAGGTTCATCCATCCAGACTGAATTCAGAGATCCACAGGATTTGAGAGACAGAAGGTCTGAGGAATTAAGTGCCTTTTTCAAGGACACAGGGCTAATTAGTGTCAGAACTAGAACCAGTATTCACGCCTCTGATCCATGATCCAACAATTTAGTGCTCTTTCCTTTTTAAATATTTCTTTCTTGTCCATTTTGTCTTTCAAACATACTTAATGGCTACCTAATTTCTCTAC